AGGAGGAGATGGTCTTGGCAGACAAAAATACATAATCCCTATATCTGGACTGATAGCCAGCCATATGCACTATACTGCTAAACCAGTCATTAAAAAATTGAACTGCTTTCTTACACCTTACACCAAACAGCTGTTGCCTTTAAAACCCCACCTCAGCCCCCACCTTAGGTTCTGCCTTCACAGTTCACCCAGATTTGGTTCTGATTGGTTGGTTTCTATGCCAGTCAGCATCAAAGCTCCACCTCCTAGGCAGCCATTGGCTCTTCACCGTTCACCCAGATTTGGTTCTGATTCATCCATTTCTATACCAATCAGTGTCTCTGGGCCTATCTATGGGCCTGATCAGATAGACAAGGCTGATAAGCAACCCCTGCGGAGGCCCAGAGAGAAAGAGGTGCGGCTACTAGCCAGGCCTGAAGAGAAAGAGAGAGGTAAGGGCTGATCAACATTTGCCACAGAGGCTACAAATCAGAGCCTGCTTCTTTCTCCAGATCTCTCTCCAGGCCTGATCTGCAGCCCCCTTGGCAGTTAGTGCTAGGTCACTGCGCCCGCAGCAGCAGCAGTCAGTGCTGGGTTGCAACCCAGCTCGGACTGCAGGACTGACTTTCGGTCAGTTGAGCCTGCAGTCAATTTGGATGTTACAGACCCTGGGTTTTTATATATTAGAATTATTAGTACACATCTGGTATACATAGTTGTTATACTATTATTAGTACCCATTACTATTATCTTGTACCCATCTGACACCACACCATAGTTAATCCCTATGCTGTATTTTACATTCCCAGGATTTTTTTTTAAGACCTTCATTAACAATTGCCTGTAGTTTGCTGATTTTTTTTTTTTTGGGGGGGGGGGAATCTAGTTGTAAATTTTTATTACAAGTAAAAAATGAGGTTCTTAAAAATCTCAACTTGACCAGATATGAAACAATTTAAAAACCTTTAAAGGTATATTGAGAAAAACTAGGCTTCCTTAAAAAGCACGTTTGTCATTACCAAAAAGAAATGTCTTTAGATAAAACAACAAAACAAAACAAAACAAAAAAATCTACACTGTGTAGATAATGCAGCTATTTCTAGTTATCTGGTCAATGGGCAAAACAACAGCACTTAAGTTATTTAGCTCCAATCTTTTGTTTATTTCTTACTGTTGAAATTTTATATTCATTTCTTTTTGTTGGATGATTAACCTTGGGTTTCATCTCCTTCACTTTCCTTATTTTCTTCATTGTTATCTTCTGTAGGCTGTCTTTGGCGATGACAGCCCCTGTGGAATCATGATCTACGGCCTCGATATTCTGTCTCACTGGTCTACCTTGTTCTCCTGCATTCTGGTTGTCGGCACCCTCCATCACTTCTCCCTGCACAGAAATATTGGAATACTGTGGTCGAGGCTCATAGGGTCTCCACATGTAATAAGTTGGAAACCTTTGCCTGCTATAGGGCTGGCACTGATGGGCCTAGCCTTTGGGAGCACTCACTGATACCTCATTCTCACTCTTCTGGTAATTGTATGGAGGGCTCCTGCAATGTAGACAGCATCTATAATGGTTACATTCTGCTGCACATTTACTGCCTTGCACTGGAACTCCACCATGGCTTGTAATATTTGCTGCCTCCACACCCTTTTCTTCTTCAACACCATCAGACTCCACAGTCTTTCCATCTTTTATACCATGAAGGTACTTCCTGGGATTATTCTTCTTTATGGCCAGTCTGTGTACAAATACATCTGCTTTGGTGTCATTCCTATTGATGAAACCGTATCCATTTGTTACATTGAACCATTTTACTGTTCCCCAATTCCTGAAGCATGGGCAGTGGGCAAGGTTGGCCTCATAATGATGTCACAAGCCAGCAGGGACAAAAAGTGATCACAATGGAGATTCCTCAAAAAATTAAAAGTAGAACTACCGTATGACTCCCCAATTCCACTTCTGGGTATTTACCTGAAGAAATCCAAAATACTAATTTGAAATTATATATGCACCCCTATGTTGATTGCAGCATTATTTACAACAGTCAAGATATGGAAGCTACCTAAATGCAATCCATAAATGAATTGATAAAGAAGAGGTAAGGAAGATAGTGAGGAGCTCCAACTGTGACACCTAGCTCTCGGGGTGTGATGGTAATTAGGCTGTGATGACTTTTTGTCTTCAGGTAAATACCCAGAAGTGGAATTGGGGTGTCATATGGTAATTATACTTTTAATTTTTTGAGGAATCTCCATTGTGATGACTTTTTGTCCCTGCTGGCCAGTGACATCATTATGAGGCCAACCCTGCCCACTGCCCATGCTACAGGAATTGGTGTTGGCAGCACTGATGGTGGGGGCAGCATGGGGGGGGTGGCAAGTGGCTGTTGGGTTTCAGTCTCACTATTGCTGATTGCAGTGATGGTGACTGGGGCTGGGTGTCACAGTTGGAGCTCCTCTCGGGGTGTGATGGTAATTAGGCTGGAGGCGGTAGCGGGGCTATTTGGGGATCTCTAGGGTCTGTTCTCTCCTGTGGCTATTTTTAAAAAAAGAGGCAATTTGTTCATAATACTTTCAAGTTTTTGACCCAAACCTTCTCCCAGCTGGTGATCACCAAATTGTTCTCTGTATCTATGGGTTTGTTTCTGTTCTGTTTGTTTATTTATTTATTTATTTATTTATTTATTTATTTATGATTCCAATTATAAGTAAAATCATATGGTAATTGTCTTTTTCTGTCTGACTTATTTCATACAGCATAATACTTCTAGGTCCATCCATGATGTTGCTATTGGCAATATTTCATTCGTTTTATAGCCAAGTAATATTTCACCTCTTTATATATGTACCACCTCTTCTTTATCCATTCATTTATGGATTGCATTTAGGTAGCTTCCATATCTTGACTGTTGTAAATAATGCTACAATCAACATAGGGGTATATATATTGTATAATTTCAAATTAGTATTATATTATATACACATAACTAATTTTAGACAAAAGCCCCTTCAATAAGTGGTGCTGGGAAAATTGAAAAGGCACATGTAAAAAAGAAAGAGAGAGAGAGAGAGAGAGAGAGAGAGAGAGAGAGAGAGAGAGAGAGAGAGAGAGAGAGAGAACCCACTTGCAAAAGAATTAAACTAGACTATTTGTCACCACACACACAAATTAACTCACAATGTATCAAAAACCTAAACATAATACCTGAAACAATAAAATATTTAAGTACTAAGCTTATGGACCTTGGTTTTACAGAGGATTATGTTATTTGGACCCTCTTTACCCTTTAATACCTAATACCTCTCCCCACTCTCCTTACCTCTGATAACCACTATACTGTTGTCTGTGCCTATAAGGTATATATATATATTGTCTTGTTTGTTCATTTGTTGCTTTCAGTTTTATATCCCATGCATGAATGAAATCATATGGTTCTTATTTCTGACTTAGTTCGCTTAGCATGACAATGGATAGAACAAGGCCACAATTGTACAAACAGGCCATGTTGTTGCAAATGGCAGTATTTCATCTTTTCTTATGGCTGAACAATATTATATTGCATATTTGTACCACATTCTTTAAATCCAATCATCTACCAAAGGATACTTGGGTTGTTTCCATGTCTTTGCCACCATGAATAATGCTGTAATTAGCATAGGAGTGCATATACCTTTATGAATAAATTATAGGCTTGGTGCATGAATTCATGCACAAGTGGGTTCCTTCAGCCTGGCCAGCAATCAGTGCCTATGGATGGTGGTGGGGGGGGGGGGAGCAGGCCAGCCTAACAGGAGGTTGGCCTCAATAGCAAGCTAATGAATGGCCAATTCCATGAGAAATTGGGCTCCCTTCTTCCTCTTGTCTGAGTTGGGGGTGCAGGTGAACCAGATTTGAGGTTGTCAGGGCCCCAGCAGCAATCTCTGGGTCAGTGCGCATCATAGCTACCAGCCAGTCGGTCATCTAGTTGTTTTGGTCCTAATGGTCACTTAGGCTTTTATATAGATTAGGGGTGTCGAACTCAATCAGAGAAGGGGCCAAAATCTAAAATCCAGCCTAAATCGCGGGCCAAATGGTTTATTGAACAGTCATAAACTGTCATTGTGATGGAAACGCAGCGGAGTGCAGTGATGAGAGTGCGATGCGGGCCACATTGCAAGGCCTGGCGGGACGGATTTGGCCCGCAGGCCTTGTGTTTGACACATGTGATGTAGATAGATAGATAGATAGATAGATAGATAGATAGATAGATAGACAGATAGATGTTTTCAGTTTTGGGTAGATACCTAGAAGAGGGGTGGCTGAGTTATATGGTATGAAATCTGTTTTTTAAGAAAAGTACTTGACACTTCACTATTTAGCAGGTGAGAAGGAGAGATTTTTTTGTTTGTTTGTTTTTCCCAATAGGTGAAGTACAAGTTTTCATTTTCTCTTATTGCCAGGCTAAGGCTTCTGTGATTTGTGTGGGGCCTGTTTCCTTGGCTAAGGAAAATGCCCCCATATTCCCTGGGATGGGATGTCCCCTCTATGACCATGTTGCCTCAGTCTCAGGGCAGCACCCTTGTGGGAAAATGTGGTAGGGGATGGGCTCTAGCCCAGTGCTACCTCTCGCAACTAGATGCTGCTAGAAGTGCTGTACTACTCAAGGTGTCCCAGGCGCTTTTACTAGGCTCTGTTGGGATGTGTGGGGGTAGAATAGGCAGGGACAGGCCTTATTGTACGTTTGTGGCCTTGTTCTATCCCAGTAATAGTGGCTACCAGACCTCAGCAGCCACAATTCTGAATCTCCATTCCTGTCACTGGGTTTAGCCACTATTTGCTCATGCCTCTCAGCCAGAAATGTTTCTACTACCTGTGAGGTAGGTATACTCCAACTTTTATAAATGAGGACAATTGAGGCTTTGAGGTTGCAAAACTGTATTCAAATCCAGATCAGTGAGACTCCAAAGCTATGCTATATTTACTATACTATTCTTTCTCTCCATATGAACATTAAAGTAGATTGATAATATCCATCACTTACTTCATAGTATATAGCATGTAGAGGATATCAGCTTGTCCCTGAAAGCTGGAGGTCTCCTTTAACTGTAAAACCAGTGCTTTGAAGTCCACCTCCCCAGACTGGTCTCTCGGAAGATGTATTTCTACATGAACTGAGGGAACCTTTAGTTCAAGAAAGGGTAAAAAAAAATTAAGTCCACAAGTGCTCAACTTAAATATTGCCCTAGAGTAGGGGTGTCGAACTCAATCAGAGAAGGGGCCAAATCTAAAATCCAGCCTAAATCGCGGGCCGAACGGTTTACTGAACAGTCACAAACTGTCATTGTGATGGAAACGCAGCGGAGTGCAGTGATGACAGCGCGGTGCGGGCCACATTGCAAGGCCTGGCGGGACGGATTTGGCCCACGGGCCTTGTGTTTGACACATGTGCCCTAGAGTGTTGATCTTTTCATCTCTAAACTTTTCCATAAGAATTTGTTAAATTTTTATGAAAAGTAAACAAACAAACAAACAAAAACAATGAAATCGTCAACACATATGATAAAGCAATCTAGTTTTCATAAAGCCCAGCTAGAAAAACTTACCTATTTTAAAAATGAATTGAAAAGGTCATGTATCTTCGCCAGGGTAGCATTTTGCCTACAACCAGTTAGTAGCAGAAACCACAACGGCTAGTTATGTTATTTTCCATTAGGATAGCATTTTTCAAAAAGCTGATAGAAAAATCTAATGTACAAGTTTACCTGGTCCTCTTGTGGAGGAGGAGGTGAGTCAAGTAAGTTGAATGAAGGCCGGGAAGCCTCAACTATCTTTGCAGGAAGATACATGTGAACATCTGCAAAAGGTTGACATTTATGATAAATGTTAGATAATTCGGAGACTAACAAAAATGCACAGTTGATCTCAACAATGAAGTTACATATGTTTGGTTCTTTATAGAAGTTTATCTTTCTGGGTAACATCAAAGTAAAGAAATATAAAAATCAATTAATGTAAAGAATGTTATGTAACTACAATAATACCATAATGGTACTATCAGTGACGCTTAGGTATAATAGCATACCATGTATCACAGAAAGAACCTAGTTACGTTTTATATTTTCTGGACTTCCCTAGGAGAATATCTGGATACTCACAATAGATAAATGAATGATCCTATCTAGGGAATGAAAATATGTAGTGGCTGATCAACTTTGAGATATTATTAAGAGTTTTACTTACAATCCATTGTTGAAATACTTACCATATATTTCTACATGAACAGAGACTCTAAGGAGATGCTCTCTTGTCATTTTCACCATTTACAGGTACAGAAATAGAGATACAGAGCTCAAACAACTGTTCAAGCAAGTAGCAGAACTGGAAATTAAGCTCAAGTTTTGGAATTCATAATCTAAAAGTCTAACTTAATAAAGTTTATTTACTCACATAAGCCCTTTGTCAAGGAAGCTTACTTGAAGGGAATTCTAAACTTTCCCGAATTCTAAATGTTAAATGATACTCCAATGTTCATGTTTTAATATATTTTGTTAGTAATGATCAATAAAGTTTTAGACAGCAAGAGCATGCATCTCAATCATTCTCATCATCTGTAATTTATTTTATTTTATTTTTTTGCTTTTACAAACCCTTGTGTCAAGGACTGACTTTCAATAGATCGCAGAGAAGGAGCTGCCCTGCTACCTACGAAACCCTGACACAGAAGCAGGTCGTCTACTAATGGTTTAGCGCCAGAAAAGCGTGGGGGCAGCCCCCTTTCCGGCCGCACCCCGTTTCCCAGGACCCTGGTCCGAGCACTGTGGAGCGCACCATGCCGCTGTGGGGAGGTGATTAGGTGTGACAGCCCTCCAGCGGGACAGCGGGGGACCGGCTACCAGAGGCCAACTGAGGATCATCTATAAATATTAACATTAAGTCCTTCAGGTGTGGCCAGTAATCTATCCCTTCAGTCCCTTCACGTGAAGCTACTATAGAGGCACTGAGCACTCTTGGAGGCCATGACTACTATTCCTGGCAATGTGTCTAGAAGACATTTTCCACTACCAATACTACTGAAGGAGGGTTGTGGTCATGGAGAGGTGAATGGCAAAGTTGTTGAAGAATGAGTGCTATTGTTGATAAACAGCTCTACACTGCTGGACCAACTGACTATAAAAGTGACAGCTGGCCTAAGGGAACCAGATGTAGTTCACTTAAGGGAGCATATCTCCTCCATGGCAAGGCACTCTTGTAATAGCTTGCAATGCTTTATCTTTAAATAAAATCATTACCAACGAAAAAAATACTTTCCACCAATTTGGTATTTTTATCTTACAATTAAATATGTCCCAAGTCTCTTATTTTGTCTCTTCTCACTATGTAACTGGTTAAGACAGACTACACAGCACTATATATAGCAAAATTATATCCAATTCATTAATTTTACAAATATTTGAGTGTCTAATATGTTCTCGGTACTCTCAAAGATGCTTGGGATGAAGCAGTGAACAAAATCAAAGTTCCTGCTCAGCCAGCACGGCTCAGTGGTTGAGCACCGACCTATGAACCAAGAGGTCACAGTTCGATTCAGAGTCAGGGCACATGCCTGGATTGCAAGCTCCATCCCCAGTAGGGGGTGTGCAGGAGTCAGCCAATCAATGATTCTCTCTCATCATTGTTGTTTCTATCTCTCTCTCTCCCTCTCCTTTCCTCTCTCTGAAATCAATAAAAACCATATTAAAAACAAACACAGTTTCTGCTTACACTGTAATAAATGCTCCCTCCCATATACTGGGCTTCACATCATTCACCTGAATCCAGTGAGTCCTGACATTACTCACTCTGTACAAGCAGCACCTTGGTCACCAAGGACATTATATCACAAGTTGTTTATACAGCAGCTTGACACCGATCTAGCCCTTCCTTCTGTGAGGTAGGGGCTAGTTTAGGATGGGGAGCAGTGTGCGCCGAAAGGTGATCTAAATAACGAGCAACATCATCACCACAGTGAACTGCAAGGTAGTAGGGGGAGGGTGAAACAAAAAAAGTGAACCTTTTAAATTAAATATTTCAGTATTGATTCAAACACTGTGCTTTTCCAAGTATAAATGTTGTGAATGTTCATATAAAGTCTGAGATGTTAAGCATCCACAGGGGATATGCATTTTTTTAATTTCCATTATCCATAGCCAGAGATAATGTATTTGGATAATTTTAGTTACATCACAATCTAACCCACCAAACAAAATGACTGAATCTTGTGACCACAACATAGCACCAGAAGTAGGTTGTTTTAGCTCATGGGGTAAAAAGTGTGTGATCATTATATAAACTCATAGCATTACCATTTAAAAACTATGGTCATTTACCAGGACCCACCTGTTCTTCAACTTTTCTGAGACAATATTAGGGCCCCTGGAAGAAGTATGAGGTTAATATAGGAGAGATGGTGCAGGCATTTAATATGCAAGCATATGATAATAGTTGTGGTGGTGATGGTGATGGTGATGGTGGAGAAGGAGCAGAATAAGGTCCTTTGATTCTCACTGGTGTGATGCAGCTTTTGTGGGGAAGGGCATAAATCTTCCAGTAAACACTGAGTCTAGCTAAAAACAGACAGATTTCACAAACGGCAAGCTACAATTGCTAACAACAACAATGAAATCTCTATGTGGCCCTGGTGTTGAAAGGACTACAAAGCTCACATTTGTCTTTTTGGTCACCTCATTCATTTATTCACCAAATATTTATTGCCTACCAAGTACCACAAAGTATACTAGATGCTGAGTTCTCAGTGGTGAAGAACACATATGGTCCCTATGATCTTGGCCTCCCCCTCTTCCACATACATTATCTCTGGCTATGGATAATGGAAATTAAAAAAAAAAATGCATACCCTCTGTGGATGTTTAACATCTCAAACTTTACATGAACATTCACAACATTTGTAATTGGAAAAGCACAGTGTTTGGATCAATACTGAAAACTTCTAGGTCATTTGTGCATCAACTGTTTTTGTTTTTGTTTTTAATAATCTTTGGTGATCTCTTAAGATGTCTTTCTGTACTCTGATATGACTAATGGGGACTAAGAAAGCTATAAGAATGGGAACTCGTACTCAGGGATATCTTAATGGCAAATATTATAATCTTGAATACAATCTAGATTCTTTGGAGGAGGATTATAAAAATATGGGCTTGGAACAAATATTACTAATATAATATTGTATATCAACTATACTTAAAAAAATGAATCTGGAGAGAAGTGTTCTTATCATATAAGGGCTGGCAAGCAATAGACACATCCATTGTGAAACCATGAATGAGTAAATTCAGAGAGGAAAAAGTGACTCAGGATGCATAATATCAAATTAGGTAACACATATTATTAAAAACATGTATTTTAGAAATTAATCTAAGAGAACATTTGTTACAGATGAAAATCCCAATTACCCATGGAATAACAAATGACCTCAATAAATAATCACTAGAGGCCTGGTGCACGAAATTTGTGCACGGGGTGTGTGTGTGTCCTTCAGTCCAGCCTGCACCCTTCAAGGGATGTATGACTGCCCTCACTGGGATCAGGCCTAAACGGGCAGGTGGACATCCCTCTCACAATTCAGGACTGCTTGCTGCCAACTGCTCACCTGCCTGCCTGCCTGATTGCCCCTAATTGCCGTCCCCTGCTGGAATGGTCACCCCTAACCATCCTCCCCTGCAGGCCTGGTTTCCCACAACTGCCCTCCCCTGCTGGCCTTGTCACCCTTAACTTCCCTCCCTTGCCAGCCTGGTTGCCCCTAACTGCCCTCCCCTGCAGGTCTGATCCTCCCCAACTGCCCTACCCTGAAGACCTGGTCACACACAACTACCCTCCCCTTCTGGCCTGTTTGCCCCCAACTGCCCTCCCCTGAAGGTGTGGTCCCCCCCAACTGCCCTCCCCAGCAGGTCTTGTCCCCCCCAACTTCCCTCCCCTGTTGGCCTGATCACCCACAACTGCCCCCCCCCTGCCAGCCATCTCGTATCAGCCATCTTGTGTCCACTTGGGGGTGGCCATAGGTGGTGGCTATCTTTGACCACATGGGGACAGCCATCTTGTGAGTTGGAGTGATGGTCAATTTGCATATTACCTCTTTATTAGATAGGATTCTTGTCTGAGTTTTAAAAAGTTCAGCTTATACCAAGCTAGATATCATGACTTTTGTTATTATTGGTAACAGGAAATAACCTTATATTTAATGCACTTTCCCAACAAAGAAACTCATACTACTTTAGATCTTATAAAAACAAGTACAGAACGAATTAAATGGTATTTAGGTAAGTAAATGCTGATCCCAAAGAAGAAAATATTCCTTCTGATTGCTAATGTGATGGTCAATTATACATGAGATTATGTTTTGCTACCACATTAAGGAAAGCTAATTTATTTATTTTTTCTTTTCTCTTTATTTATTAAGAAGTAAATTAGCTGCTTTAATATATAGGCTAACACTTAAGTACTCAGACAAATCATGTTTAGTTAGAAGAATAATTTTCTCCTACTGCCCTTTTTCTTTTGGGATTCAAGTACGGTAATGCTTGCCCTGTCTAGGTCAGTATTTTAACATGTTAGGGTTCTTTTTAGACATTTAGGTATATTTAATATATGCCCCCATGATGTTTTCTGTCATCTTAGTATTCCTAACAACCAATTAGATGATGTTGTGCTTTATTTGTCTAGTTTGTAATATAAAAAGGCAACATGCATAATACCAAATAGGTTTTTTTTTTCAAACTATGCAGTCCTCCGAGGAGATTCTAAAGTACCCATATACTATTTTATATTTTAAAAAAAGCACTCTAAGCAATAGTGTACATGTATAGTTTTATTAAATATCTCTCACTCATCACTGTTTCCTGTCATTTTGAGATCACTAGCCATTTTATATGCCCAGCAGAGAACTCTTCCCTAATCTTAGTAAAGGATAGTCCAATTTCATAGTCCACAATCACAACAGAGATATTAGTCCAAGAACCAAAGGTAAGTAGGAGGATGAAAAGTAAAGCCAAACAAAAAGTGAATATATTAAATAGAAGTAAGACTGCTGGCAGTGAGATATATTAAGGGGATACACAACAATACTATATTCTTGTCCAGTAAAGCCAGTGCCTTTATGAAGCTTCCTTACCATTACTGGTTGAATCATAGCTATTCATCCAGTCACAGGATTCTAGCTCACTATAATCATTGTAATCTTCACTGTACAGCTTACTTTCAGGTCCAGGGTCCATGAAACTCAAATGTGTGCAGCAAGATGTTGTCAAAAACTCTGATAATTTACCTGTTTGAACCCTGACAATTAGAAGGTAAATAGGAAACAGAAACTTAGAAAAAATGCTTTTTAAAATAATACAATTTAGTAAAAAAGTTATGTTGGGCTATTACTAATTTTTATACATTAGTATAAATTATATAAAATTAAAATTGCACTGCACTCCTAGGTACAGTGCATTGTAGGTTATGGTACGTTAACAAAAACTAAAATTATGAGTTCACAATCCACCAGATCAGTTTGGCTTTCTTTCACTGCTAATCTGCTCTGTTGATAACTATGCCAAACATCTGGCCAAAATTTCCATTGGCTACCAGAGGAACTAGGAAAGAATGAAGAAAAATTATCACTAATCCATCACACATCATTTAAAAAGTACTCATAAAGACCATTTTGAAAATAAAAAGATGGTATTTGAAAATTTTATAAATTATAATAGACTACATCATACCCTCCCCCCTAATTATAAAGCCAATTGCAAAACCCAAAGGGAAAGTCAATAGTACTGATTTTCTAAAGAAGCCAGTTTGAAGAGGCTCCCAATGGCCAGATCTTGTATAATTTGAACATTGAAATAAATAATTATAGGAGTGAAGCATGATATAATAAACAAAATAAAAATGCATAAACCTATGCTGACATTAAAACTACAAAACAAAATGGGTAGGGGAAAGTTATTTTTTAAGGGAAAGGTTCCAAATAGTATATGTACACAGAATGATAGAAACAGAATCATCATTTTACCACTCCACTAATAATAAATGATTATCAATGGAAGTTAAGACCATTTGGTGAAAGACTGCTGGACAAAGGATGTGGAAAAACCTGACAGATAACACTTAAACCAATTTGAGGCATTCTGCAAAATAACCGACCTTCTGTCTTCAAAACTGTAATGAAAGATTAATGAAAGATTGGGGAATTGTACATTAAAAGACATCACCCTGGTTGGGTAGCTCAGTTGGTTAGAGCATTGTCCCCATATGCCAGTGGTTCTCAACCTTTTTAAAGCCATGACCCTTTAATACAGTTCCTCATGTTGTGGTGACCCTCAACCATAAAATTATTTTTGTTGCTATTCATAATTGTAATTTTGCTACTGTTAATGAATTGTAATGTAAATATCTGTGTTTTCCGATGGTGTTAGGCTCTGCAACAGCTGTTCTCAACCTGTGGGTCATAAATGCCAAGGTTTGGGTTTGATCCCCAGTCAGGGCATATACAAGAATCAGGCAATGAAACAACAACTCTCTCTCTCTCTCTGTCTCTCTCTCTCTCTCTCTGTCTCTCTCTCTCTCTCTCTCTCATAAAAAAGAAGACATCAAGGAGGTAAATAACTAAATGCCAATGTGTGATCTTTGATTGGATCCTGGAGTGGGGGGAAAAGCTATGGGAAGACATTATTGGGACAAATTGAAAATTTTGAATATGAGCTCTACATTAGACAATGTATTGTATCAGCAATAAATTTACTGAGTGTGGTGATTATATTTCAGTTATGTATGAGAATACCCTTGTTCTTAGAAAACAGAAACTGAAGTATTTAGGGAAGAAGAGTTGTGGTGTTTCTGGCTAACTGTCACATAGTTCAGCAAAAAAAAATCTGTGTATATGTGAGTGAGATAGAGAGGACGGTGGAGAGAGAGAGAGAGAGAGAGAGAGAGAAGAGAGAGAGAGAGAGAGAGAGAGAGAGAGAGAGAGAGAGAGAGAGAGAGAGAGAGAGAGAGGGAGGGAGGGAGAGAGAGAGAGAGAGAGAGAGAGAGAGAGAGAGAGAGAGAGAGAGAGGGAGAGAGAGAAAGAAAAGAGGGAGGGAGAAGTGGAAGGAAGGGCATGGGGGAGAGAGAAAATTTCAATACTATTTCTGTTAGCTTGAAATTTTTTAAAATAAAAACTTAGGGAAATAGAAAAGAAAAGCAGCCAGAATTCAATACTCCAATAGCCATTTTTAAAAGAATAATAATGTTTTTTGTCCATTGAATTGTTAAGATCTAGGCAAAGGTCAGAGTGAGGAAAAATTCCAATGCTTCTATATAACATTCAATTCCTTCATTCAAGCTGTCAAACACAAGCTTCTCTGACTAGGATGAGATTGTTATTGAAGATACATAGAAATACTATCATGCTAAGCGAAATAAATCAGACAGAAAAATTTAAGAACCATATGATTTCACTTATATGTGGGATACAAAACTGAAAGCAAAATGAACAAACAAAAAAATAAACAACACAAAAATACATAGACACAGACAACAGTATGGTGGTTACCAAAGAGTGATGAGGGTGGAGGCTTAGAAAAGGGTAAAGGTGGTCAAATATATGGTGATTTGCTATGGGTGGTGGATATACAATGCAATATACAGATATACAATTTTACACTTGAAACCTATATAATCTTATTAACTAACATCACCCCAATAAATTTAACATAAAAATGCAGCTATAAAAAAAATGATACACAGAAAGGCATAACAAATCCACAATTACTGTACGCAGTTTCCAAGTTTCATTTCATTTCACTAAAGAGTATGTAGAGGTCACTTACCTTGCCCCACCAAAATAGCCATCCTGCATTTTTCGTAGTGCTGCCAGGATACTTGAATTCAAGCTGGTTCCATTTTCATCTTGAAGAGATTAAAAAAAAATCTTTGTGGTTTTAACTTTTAAATAAGGGGAAGCTTTCACGTATTTCAAACCAATAGTCTGGAGTGAAGACTGTACAAATTAGACACTCCTCACTGACCACCCTATATTTCAACAATGCATCTGGGAGCCAGCAATACTGTAGAATGGGCAATTGGTAAGCGATGATGACCAACAGACAAAGTTCCTCAGACAGTCCATATCTTATTTATCATAAATACTTAGCACAGAGCCTGATAGCAGAACACTTGGCTATTGAATGCTTTCAATAATAGCCGCAACCATTAGTTGAATATTATGTGCCAAGCATTGTGCTAAATATTTTATATATGGTAATATTATGCTATCTAATGAGCTTTGGTTTATGTGTGTAGGCATAAAAATATTTAGAAGACTAACAATTATCTGATACTACATTAAGGAGACCATATTACATATATTCTTTTGTGATCCACTTTTTCTAACATGGACTTTGTAAAAGCTAAAAAATTATTTCATAGCAGAAATTTAGATTGTTTTTATATTGTAAGTACACAGTGAGGAAGATCACTGTACCTACATCTATATGCACTAATTATACTATCTCCTTAGGGGAAATTCTTACAAGAACTGTTAGGGCAAGGGAAACACAAAACATTTTATAGAGATTGTGAAATTGCTCACTAAAAAAGTCTAGTCAATTATATTTCCATTATTAGTACAGAAAGTGACTGTTTCCACACACCTTAAACAATAATAGACAAATAATTTCTTTAATCTGTATCTAGTATGTTAAAAAAAAAGCCATTGTTTTAATTTTATTACCAATAAGGCTGATTATGTTTTCATGCATATACTGGTCATTTCCATTTCTTTTATGAATTGCCTGTTCACATCCTTTCCTCATATTTCTATTAAGTAATTTATCTTTCTTTTAAATTCATTGAATAGGATTTCACTTATATGTGGAATACAAAATTAAAAGCAAACAATGAACAAACAAGAAAAACAAACAATATATGCACACCTATGTTTATAGCAGTCCAATTTACAATCGCTAAGATTTGGAAACAGCCTGAGTGCCCATCAGCAAATGAGTGGATGAAAAAACTGTGGTACCTCTACACAATGGAATACTATGCTGCTGTTGCTGCTGCAAAAAATAGCTCTTGCCATTTGCAACAGCATGGATGGACCTGGAGAGCATTATGCTGAATAAAATAAGCCAGACAGAGAAAAATAAATATCACCCAATTTCACTCATGTGTGGAATATAATGAACAACATAAACTGATTAACTATTGATAAAATAGATACAGAGGCACAGGAGCATGGAACAGATAATCAAGCCTCAGAGGGAAGGCAGAGGAGGGTGGGAGGTAGGGGTAAGAAATCAACCAAAGGACTTGTATGCATGCATATAAGCATAACCAAAGGACACAGACAGTAGGGGGTGGGGACATGTATGTGGGGTAGGGGAGAGGTCAATGGGGGGAAAAAGAGACATGTAATACTTAGAGAATTAAATTTTTTTTCAAAAAGCAAAGCTATGAAGTGCTATGCATAATAAATACTCACTTGTATGATGTCATATTAATAAAGTACAAACATTTTCATGTCAGAAAAAAAATAGCGACATACAAGCATGAGAAGATTGTTGAACCTCAGAGGGAATGCAGGGGAGGATAGGTGAGAAGAGATCAACCAATGAGCTTATATGCACATATGCATAACCCTGGACACAAACAATGAGGTGGTGTGGGGTTGAGGGATTGGGAGCAAGCTGGAAGAGGTTAATGGGGTATTGAAATAGGAGGACCTATGTAATTAGAGACCCAATGCACAAAGATTCGTGCAAGAATGGGCCTTCTTTCCCCTGGCTGCCAGCACTGCCTTGGCTCCAGCCAGAGCTGCCTTTTTGCTCTGGCCTGGAGCTGTCTTTCTGCCTTCCCATGCTACCTAGAGGCCCGGAGCAGCTGGGGCAGTGTGGAACGCCTGTGTCATAGCCAAGGTGACGATACAAGCATCCTGCCTTGCCTCTGGCTGCTTGGCACGGCACCTGCATGTGCAAATTAACGCACCATCTTTGTTGGGTTAATTTGCATACTCATTCCTGATTGGCTAGTGGGTGTTGCAAAGGTACGGTCAATTTGCATTTCACTCTTTTATTAGTGTAGATACTTTCAATAATAAAGATTTAGGCCAGAACAGCATGCACCAGCAGCCACCGGACACATCCCTGCCCCCTGGAGGCATTAGGCCAGTGCCTAAGCCCCCCGTGGAGCACGCTGGGTGTCGTCCCATGAGTCCTGCGACCTTGGGCCTCATCTGGGAGTTGGAGGTGGTGTCCGAGCAGCCAATCAGGAGTATGTAAATTAACCCAACAAAGATGGTGGGTTAATTTGCATACACAGGTGCCAAGTGGTGGGGGGCGGGACCATGGCGACAACACAGGTGTTCCACACCACCCCAGCTGATCTAGGCCTCTGGGCAGCGTCGGAAGGCAGAAAGGTGGCTCCAGGCCAGAGCAAAAAGGTGGCTCTGGCCAGAGTGAAGGCGGTGCCAGTAGCCAGGGGTAGAAAGGCCCATTCTTGCATGAATCTTCATGCATTGGGCCTCTAGTGATAATATAAGTGTAATATGCTAATTATACCAGGCAGCCAAATGACCTTCCAGACATCCTTCTGGACAACCTTCTGGATGAAGCCGGGACTGTGAGGGCTGAAGGCAGCTGCTGTGGCTGTGAGGACTGAGGGCAGCCACCGCGGTCTCAACAGCCAAACACCTTGTATGAATTTTGTGCATCAGGGTCTCTTGTAATGTAATAAAAGTTATGTGAATGTAGTCTCTCTCTCACTCAATATCTGATAACTCTGAAGATTATGAAGTAACTAAGGAGTGGATAGCATAGAAAGCGTGGGTACAATTTAAAACTTATGAATTATTTATTGCTTTGGCTGGGTGGCTCAGTTGGTGGTTGGAGTGTAAACCTGTACACCAAAAGTTGAGGGTTCTATTCCCAGTCAGGAAACATACGTAGGTATTTTTTAGGTATAATTCCAGGTCAGGATGTATACGGGAGACAACCAAGCAATGTTTTTCACATCGATGCTTCTCTCTCTCTCTCTCTCTCTCTCTCTCTCTCTCTCTCTCATCAATAAACATATTCTTTGGTGAGGATAAAAAAACGTATGAATTATTTATTTCTGAAAATGTTTTCTTTTAACTTATCTTTATTGCTGAAAGTATTAAAGATGTCACCATTCCCCTAACCCCCCATTTACCTTCCCTTCTCCCTATTCCCTTCCCCTCTACTGTCTATTTTGGGGCCATAGTTGACTTCAGGTAACTGGACCCAATGAAAGCAAAACCAAAGAAAGATAGGTGGAGACCAATGAATTTGGATTGCTATCACATGAATGTTTTAATTTTCATGGATCTATATTCTCTTATTGTTTTTAGATTTAATAAGTATTCTTGTACATTTCCACTCCCATAAGAAATTTAGATTCAGCTTATACATATATATGTGTGTTCTTATTTAGATTTCAAACTGCACTGAATTGATAGATTAATTTAATGAGAATGTAGATCTTCTCAGTATTAACTATTTCCATCTAGCAACATGGTAGTTTTCCTCCTTAGTAATTAAAATATTCTTTTATGCTGTTCTTTAGTTTTATAATATTCTCATCTAGTTTCATGCATGTTTTCTTTATAAGCTTATTCTTATATTATTTATTTGTCTAGAAATCTGGCAATTTTATCTAGATTTACAAATTCTAATTGGTATTCTTTTTTAAAAATATATTTTATTGATTTTTTACAGAGAGGGAGAGGGATAGAGAGCTAGAAACATCGATGAAAGAGAAACATCCATCAGCTGCCTCCTGCACACACCCTACTGAGTATCTGCTCACAACCAAGGTACATGCCCTTGACCAGAATCAAATTTGGGACCCTTGAGTCTGCAGACTGACGCTCTATCCACTGAGCCAAATCAGTTAGGGCTAATTGATATTGTTTTATAATTTTTATAGTCTCCTCCATTTCTGTGGCTATAATACCATTCTCATTCCTAATGTTGTTTTCATTACATATTTTTCCTTTTTACTGTGAAGTCTACTTTACCAGATATTAACAAAGCCACTTATTAATTTTAAAAATTAATTTTACATGGTATATCTTTTCTCATTATTTTTATTTCTGTTTACCTATACTACTATATATGAAATGACTTTCAAGGAGACAATATATGTGTGGGTCATTTTTTATCCTACTCTGCCCATCTCAGTCTTTTAATTGGTATATTTAAATTTTAATTTACAGTTAATTTATATACAATATTTGAGTTAAGTCTGGCATTTTACTTATTGTTTTCTGTTTATTCCTCTATTATTCATTTCCCTATTTTCTTCTCCCAGCTTTTCAAAACACATAAATGAAATTCATTTCGATTTATCTATGTTTTTTATGACACATTTTAAAAAATAACTGTGTAATAGTCTATGGTGTGGACTTGTCTAATTAAAAAAATTATTGAAGTATAGTTGGCACATATCATTATATTAATTTCAAGTGTGCAACATAGTAATTTGGCATTTATATACCTCACAATATCATTACCTTCTGTCACTGTGCAGCTCTTAGGATACTAGAGGCCAGATACACAAAATTCATGCACAGAGGGGTGTGTGTCCCTCAGCCTGCACCCTCTCCAATCTGGGATCCCTTGAGGGATGTCTGACTGCTCATTTAGGCCCGTTCGCACTGGGATTGGGCCTAAATGGGCAGTTGGACATCCCTTTCACAATCCAGGACTGCTGGCTGCAAATGGGCCGCCTTCTTGCCTGCCTGATTTCCCCCTAATTACCACTCCCCTTCCAGCCTGATCGACACCTAACTGCTCCCCTGCTGGCCTGATTGCCCCTAACTGCCCTCCCTTACTGGTCAGGTCACGCCTAATTGGTCTAACCTGCCAGCCTGGTCACCCCTGCAGACC